AGCTTCCAGTTTCCTGACACACCCAATGCATATTTTCTACTGTTACAAAAATTATCTTCCTAAAACACAAATCTAAAAAGTTTGGGCTAGAAACCATTCCTCCCTCCCCTGGAGTCCATAAGGTTATGTCTTAGCACAGCATTCAAAGTCCATTACATTTTGGTTCCAACCTTTCTTTCCTGGCTCCTCTTCTGCTCCCACACCCGCCTATGCTCAAGCTTCTCTAGAAGGTCACTGCTTCCTGAACACAACACAAACTCGCCTGCTTGTTTCTTTGCAAATGTTGTATCTCTGGTAGCAATTTCTTTTCATATTCCCTTTGCCTTAGACTTCAAGATTCATCTCAAATATTGCCTTCACTGTGAAACCTTCTCAGATGTTCCCAGGAGGACTGAATCACTCTTTTCATTATACTATCAAAATGAAGAGTGTATCACCATATCGTTTATTACTAAAGGACTGAATATACAAACAGATGATGGCCAGACCTTATGTGAAAACAGAACTTTGACTTGCAACCTGGCCAGAAAATCAACCCCCTTATTCACAATAAGTAGTCCACAAAGCCAGCTTACTATACATCATACTTGTAGGACATCAGACAGCTATCTCTAGTAACAATCCAGGAAGCTAAACAATTACTTCTCTAGCAACCAGCCCCAGATGTCCAGGACTTGATTAATAACTGACAGTTTCTTTAATTTCTGTCCCCGCTTCCAACTTAGGATAAACCAGGGTAAGTCAAACTTTCAACCCTAATTAATCACATAGAATGCTTTGCTTCTAGCTGGTCAGCCTATAGCTTCCCCATGCCAACAGCCTCCAATTAGGATACACCTGAAGACTTCCTCTTTTTTTCCCCAATATAAAGCTTTCCCACTCTTCTGCTTGTCTTAGAGTGTCTGTCAAAGTGCAGTTGATAGTGACTAACTCTCTTGGTATAGCAGGCTTTGAATATAATCACCTTTGCTTTCCTCATTTGGTTGGTCTTTGCTTCTACCTTGCCTAGCCAGGACCTGCCACATAAAATTACTCAATAAATGCTTTGTTGTTGTTATTTTGTTTTTTCTTGGTCGGCCACTGCCACTACAGGATGCTTTCAACAATGATCCAACTTTACTGTCATAAAATTAATAATATTCCCTTATTATCCAGTTAAAGTCTGTAGGGTCTATAGTTATGTTCCTTCTTTAATTCCCGATATTGATAATTTGTGTCTTCCCTCTTTTTCCTTCTTCAACTTAGTTAGACACGTTGTCAAAGACCAGGCTTTGGGTTGCTTGAGTTTTCTCAATATTTGTTATTTGATTTCTGCTTTTACCTTTTTAAATTCTTTCCCTTCTACTTAATTTAGGTTTAATTTTTCTTCTTTTTCTAGTTTCTTATGATAGAGACTCTAATAAACTTAGACCCTAATAAATTTATATCATTTTTTGTTGATATTTACTCTTTTCCAATATATGTACTTAGATCATTTTGAGGCTTGTTTTTAAGTTTTGTTTGGGCAGCTGTAAAGGAACATTTACTGCAGAAATAATTTAGCCTACTAGTAAAGTGTAGCCCTTCCGGAGCATTCCCCAAGTGATCAGTGAGGGCTCTCCATCCTATCTGGTAGTATTAGAAGTGATACTATATAATAAATATATATTTGATACTAAACAAAAGGCATCTGTATAGACAGTTCTGGGAATAACAGCCACTTTCTCAGTGGTGGAAAACTGTCTTTTTTACCGCCGGCCTCTGTTCCCTCCTTGCCCAACAGTTAGACCTCCTTCATTCTTACCTTCCACTTCTGCTTCATCCCAGTTCCCAGGACAGGTCCCAACCTTAGACTTTGGGGATTAACTACCTCCAAACCAGCAGCATAGGGCCCAACATCCTTTCACTCTTCTAGCTGGTCTTAGGCTTTAGTACCGATAAACAGATTTTTCCTGTTTAGCAAAACAGGATAAGCTTAGATAGCAATAAGATACATTGCTATCTTATTTCTGTGCATGACAGTCCTATCTTGGAGATCCGCCTCCTGCCTTATCTTTCCTAGGACCTTCCTTCCCTTGAAATCTACCTTGGTGGCTGAGACCCTGCTTCACGCTTGCAAACATCCCTAACACTAATAGCTTGCCTATGTAAATTTCTTAGCCCCCTTTCTGTGCAATTCAGGTTTTTAGAAAGGTGACCCTTTCACTTCATATTTCACTCTCAACACGTATTACTTTATCTGTACCCTTTACCACACTGTATTCTGCTAAGCAACGTCCAGTTTCCAAATTCCAAAGCTAGGTCCACCCTCTCCACCACCTTCCCTCTACCTCCTTGCCTTATATGGCTGACCAAGTTCCAGATCCCAGCCTCGCAGGCTGTACTCAAGAAGGCTCCTTATGGCCATGTGCTGAGAGGAAAAAAATGGTACACCTCTGAAATTCTACACTGAAGACATAATTTCTCTGGGTATCCCATTCAGGACAACTGTCAAATATTACAAAATTACTTTTTCTAATACAAATATAAAGATGTATTCTCCCGACCAGAATGTCCTTTCTGGAATCTATAATTATTTCCCAATAGCTCTCACCTCCATCAAGGAGCCTCACTTCTGCTGCTAGGGCTGGGGAAGATGTATTTTGAGTTTCCTGAGGTCACCCTCAGAGGTACTTTGCCAGAGAAACACTATTATAAAATATCATTATGTGTAATCGATAGCAAAGTTCCTCCTATCCAGAATCATATAAAACATAAATCTGTAACTTGTGATAAGCCCCAAGAACCTAACCAAGATTTAAAATATTGTTTCAGCGAAATATCATTTTGATTTCCAAATAACCAACTCAAAACTAACATTTTGTCTCTAACATTCATAATATAAGACACTTTCCAATTCTGTTTTATAGGTCGCCAAAATTATTTCCACAGTGATAGCTGTGGATGTGTATTATTGAAAATAATTCAAGTAAACATTATAAATGAAAGCAGGGGCCCCAGTGTAAGCACATATGAAACGGTTAGTTTGAATTTGGGTCTGTCTTACTAAGGCAAACTATCTTGTAATCCATGTTAGTCTTAATTCTCCCACAGGGACAGAAAACATAATCATGGAATGAAGGCTTCTAAGTAATGAGGAAGAAAATTCTGGTTTAGCTTTCAGTCCAGATGGTGGTCTCTTCCCACCAAAAGCCATAGATGGTACTCAGTAATTCTTGCTATCCCTATTTTACAAATAAGAAAACTGAGAATAAAATAGAACTACCTGAACCAGAAATGAAATGGACACAAATTTAGTATTTCACACAGCATTTACGTGTTAGTAGAGTGTAAAGCATTAAAAGAACCAATTCAACCAAAATTAAAATGCAAAAAATTAAGCCATAATAGTACTCAAGGAAACCACAGAATTCTTAATAACCTTAATGTGGGAAGACTATCTAAGAATGACACAAACCCAGAAGCTGTAAGTGAAAAAAAACTGATGAATGTGACCATATTAAAAAAAAAAAAACATTTTTTAAACTACTACATGGCCAAAAACAAAGAGAGAAAACATTAAAAAGTCAAAAAACACATGATTAGCAAAAAACACATTCCAGGAAAGAGCTAATTTCTTTAATCTCTAAAGAACTTCCAATAATTAATAAAGAGAAAAAAAGACTAGCCCAATATAAAAGTGGGCAAAAATTAAGAATAAGTAGTCCATAGTAAAGTAAATGCAGATGATTTTAAGCATGTATAAAGAGGCCCAACCTCATTTACAATAAGAGAAATAGTATACCTGCAGACCATTTTGTACATACAAAACTGGCAAATATCAGAGTGGATAATCTATTGTATTGCAAAGGGTTTGGAGAAACAGGTACTCATACTTTCATAGTGGGAGCAAACTGGCTTCCAGGAAAAAGTGAATCTTACTTTTCAACCACATACTTTTGTATCTTTCATATTTTGCACCATGTGTGTATTACCTACTCCAAAAATTGGATAAAATCTGTTCACTTGTTATTGAACAGAGATACCTGAATCATGTAAGACATATAATTTTTAACTATAATCCTGGAGCCTAGAATAAATGGACACGTGAAGTAACATCCTTGATAAGTTTTCTTCAACAAGCTATTTTCCTATTTGGCTGTGATGACCCATGAAGTCTAGTCTTTTCTTACAGACGAGGCTGCTGTTCGCAGAATGAGACATTATGTATAAGTTCGTCCCAGCCCCAGGTCTATACCTTGGACTATACATATTGTACTAGTTTTATTTTTTTTAATTTATTTTAGTGAAGTATAGTTGATTTACAATGTTGTGCTAATTTCTGCTATACAGCAAAGTGATTCAGTTATAAACATATATATTCTTTTCCATATTCTTTTCCATTATCACAGGATATTGAATATAGTTCCCTGTGCTATATAGTAGTACCTTGTTGTTTATCCATTTTATACTAACTAGTACATACTAGTTTTAAAACTTGCCCATAAAGTCTTTGATATCCTTTCAAGAGGGGGAGCTTAATTCCCCTCACTCTGAGTGGGGATGGACTTAGTGACTTGCTGGTGACTTTCAGAATATGGTGGAAGTGATGCTGCATCACTTCCAAAGCTAGGTCATAACAAACAGTGCAGCTTCTGTCTTAGTCTCTCTCTCATAAGTCACTTGCTCTGGAGAAGCCAGTTCCATGGCTTGAGGAGAGTTTCACGGGTGAGGAACTGAGGCCTCCAGCCAATAGCTGTATAAGTAAGCCACTTTAGAAGTGGATTCGTCAGTCCCAGCTTCAAATGACTGTGGCCTCAGTAGACAACTTAACTTCAATTCCGTAAGGGACCCTGAGTCAGAGCCAGCCAACTAAGCCATTCTTGGATTCCTGATTCTCAGGGACCGTGTGAGATAATAAATGCTTGTTGGTTGAAGCTGCTGAATGTTGGCATGATTGTTATGCTGCAATGGATAGCTAATATACATATCTTCTGCCCTCCCTTCCACTTCCCAGAGAATAGATGTGTCTTTAAACTCACCACACTGCTTGCCCTTCTGTTTGGTCCATCTCCAGGGACAATGAACTCAGGTAGCCTCTAGAGCAACAAGTGGGAGAAAAAGAAGAGGTCAAGAGAGGTGACATAATCACTATAGGTTCTAGCAGAAGAGGGAAAAAACATGTCAGAACATTCCTTACACGATCCTCAAATTACTACATAATAACTTGTCTTGTAACCTGCTGACTTGAACAAATCTAGGTGGTTTCTTTCAGGATACTTCCAATCATTTACTTCTCTAATTTCATTTCATCTTCCTCCTCCCAACCCAGGTGGTATGCACTCTTAGATAAGAGCTAGAAATGTGGGAAAATTCAGGGCTTATATAATATTACAACATCAACAAAGAAAACAGATGCTAGCCTACTTAGCTATTTTTTCTAAACTGCATTTTGTTACAAATATGTAAATTTTGTTCCATTAAATTTCCCTGTACACATTCTGGGATTCACAGTCAATAGAGTATGTAGCAGTCAATACTTTGCCTTATAATGCCTTTATATTCTCCCCCTCCCCCTCCCCTCTTCTCCTCACTCTCCCTCTCTTCCTCTCCCATGATTTGGTTATAGTAACTCCGAAAATTTCTTTGTCTCTCAGTGGAACTGCACTTTTAAAAGGTTATAGTAGAAGCCTTTTGGAAGTTCAAAACTGAAAGAAATGCATTTCACACTACTAAGGGCAATTCCTAAACACACAGGAAAGCATGGAACTGTACATTCATTCCCTTTGCATGCACACTTCTATGTTTTCAGTTTGCTTACTACCGGAAAAACAACACTGTCTAGGCATTATTTCTGCTGAGACTCACACATCATAGTTTGTCCTTTAGCCCAGCTGCTACTTTACCTGACAGGGGAAGGAAACCAGCACCCTCGTTCCTACCATGCAGTGAAGTTTGAAATCACACTGTTCTGCCAATAGAGCCCATATCTAGAATGCCAGAGATGAGGCTGTACCCATGTAGCTACCAAACTGCCACCATGCTTACAGGGCTCTCACCTAGTTTCTGGGTCTAGCATATACTATTGACGCTTCACTACCAAGACCACCAATCTTGCTTCAAACCCTTACCTGCATGGTTGGGAACTGATTTAATAAACCAAGAAGATCATGCCTACATTTATATATCTGGCATCCCTCTCCTGGATATTTCTCCCTCCTAACAGGCTGGTTCTAATGTCCATGCTTATTATGCTCTTGGGACATCCTGCTTTGAGCTGCAAAGTAGCAGAGGCCCAGACTCTAAGGGTAATCCAGGGACCCCAGCTCTTGAACCCTCAAATCTGGGTTTCTCCCCACCCCCCTCCCCATCTACAACAGTCCTGTGACTGAGTTCCCAGCATGTTTTGTACTCGACATCACCCCCATTACATCAATCCCCCCCAAACTGAATCTAGTGATCCCTCCACACAGAGGCTGGAAGGATCAAAACTTAGTCATTTTCCCCTATTGAGGCAACAGGAAAAAATGCACCAGTGCTTCAGTTTTGTTTGAAAAAAAGGTATTTTTGAAAAAGAGGAAGAAGAGGGGAAGGAGAATAAAAGTGAATATGAAGAGTACACATTCTCTTTTAACAAAACGGTTGAACAGCAAAACAAGGGCACGGAATTATGTAAGCTATTACTCCCACTCCCAGGAAAAAGTGTTAGGGAGAAGCCAAAGTGTGTCTACATGTTGGTTGATTATTTCAATGATTTTTTCACATTAGGCATATTTCCAAATATCACCAAGAGGAATAAAAAATAACTCTGCCTAGCTAGTTAATAAGCACTTCTGCGGTAATAAGGTCCTATCAGGAGAGTGATCTGCATGCATCTGTTCACAAAGTTTCCAGAGCTCACCATTGCTCACGAGCCAAAAAGTCTTAGCCTCTGCGTGTCTCCTCAGGCCTCTGACAGCTTCTGACTCATCTTCTTGACATTCACGCCCTCGCTTTCCCACCAGGCCCTATGCTCTTACACACAGAACGGTTTGCAGTGCTCGAGGAGCGCCATGTTCTTCTGTCTCTCGGCCTTTGCACGCTCAGGACTTTCTGAAATGTTCACCCCTGCCATCATCGCCACCCCTCCCATCCCCCACTTCGTTTAGCTGGGGAACTCTCGCTTACTCCTCAAGGCTCAGCTTCCAAGTCGTGTCCTCAGTTAAGGCTTTCCTGACACTTCACACTCTGGCCTGAAAGGGCCGAACATTATGGGCTTTGTGCCTGGTGCATACCTTCAAATACATACCTGCCTCCTTGTTAGACACTGAGACGGCTTCCTAAGGTCAAAGCTCACATCTTACTTTTGTTCATAGCTCTGAAATGGAGGGTAAGTCTTAGTCAAATCCATTTCACCCGCCTTCGGTAATCAAGGAGCTCTACAAAACTTGCATGTCCTTCAACTGGCGCGAAGCCTAAACAGTAAGACGTTTGCCCGAGTTGTCTTCCAGGAACTTGGGAGTCAGCCGTGTCTAGTTTCAGCTGAGCTGGTTAAAACTGTCAAGGACCACCGACCCTCCTCCACCTGGGCACACATGTGCTTGAGCTTCGGCTCAGTGACTTCTGACGTCAGAGGACTGAAAACTCCACCCTCGGACGGTGCTGACCGCCGGCACTGTCTTTGCAAAGGCCTTTGGTTTTGTTACAACTGTGCAGGACGCTTTCACACCTTTCTGCGGTCTCCGCTCCCGCACACTGCACCGTGACCACGCCCCGCACGCCCCGCACGCCCCGCACGCCCCGCACGCCCCGCACGCCCCGCACGCCCCGCACGCCCCGCACGCCCCGCACGCCCCGCACCGTGACCACGCCCCGCACGCCCCCACGCCCTGCACCGTGCCGACGCCACACACGCCCTGCACCGTGCCCACGCCCCACACGCCCCACACGCCCTGCACCATGACCACGACCCCCACGCCCCCACGCCCCCCACGCCCCCAGCCCTGCACCGTGCCCACGCCCCACACGCCCTGCACCATGCCCACGACCGCCCACGACCCCCCACGCCCACACGCCCCCAGCCCTGCACCATGCCCACGACCCACACGCCCTTTACCATGACCACGCCCCAGACGCTCCCCGTGCCCCCCACACCACTATGCTTCTACCCTCTCAGACTGCCCTGCTTCTTTATTTTTTATCTCATATAAACCCTGAGCCACTTGCCTCTGGGGGCAGATATGAGACTTGTTCTCCCCTGTCCTCACTTGGCTGCCTTGCAAATAAACCCTCTCTTTGCTGCAAACCTCGGCATCTTAGCATTTTGGTTTGCTGGGCAAAACAAACCTGGTTTGGTAACAGTGCTTCTGACAGAAACAGTGGCTGGCACTTGAAGTGTTCAGTAGGCATTTAGTAAAAGGATGCATGGATGGATGGTGAAGAGTAAGAATCTGTTTCCCAAAGTAGCAGACACTGAGATACTGTACTAGGATTTAGAGAAATGCTTTTTACATATATAATCTCAGCAAAAAGGAAACTGAGGCTCAGAGAGGTACAATCACATGTTATGTTCACACATTAGTAAACAGTGGAGTTAGAAAGGTAATGGTAACAATAATACTAAATAGTAGAGTAGGTCTGTTTGACTACAAAGCCCATGGTCTTTTCCCAGCACCATAATTTTGTATTCTACTGAGTATAGCCATGACAGAAATAATATATTTAACAGGGTATTTCAAAACAGAAATATCCTGAGAAAAAGAATTTAGGGAGCTACCTTAGCTTAAAGGAAATGGTTAATACCTAGGTACCTTTGCTTTGCATCTATTCACACCAATAACCTACCAAACTATAAGGTAGCCTCCTGAAGGACTTACCTGTCAGGAGGTCATACCTGAAAATGACTGGTGTCCAGTTTTCTCTCTCACTACAGAGTAGTATGAATCTTGTCACCAAGCATACATAGGTTACTAGTTTTTAAATCAGATTTGTCTGTCTTAACACAAACTGATGGTCTATAGGGTCATCAGTATATGAACTGTGGACAGGAAGAGGCTAGGCAACAGAGTTGCCTAGTTTGCAAGTGTGTAGGGCTAAGGACTTGATCGACAGTATACCAGCTGAAGCCTCGTCTGCAAAGTAAGCCAGTGGGCACCATTCTCTTCCAGATGCAAAGGTCTTTTAGCTATATGACAAGCTGGAGGGCCCTGAAGCAGTGGTCAGCTGCACTGCAATTTGTTCCTAAGATGACAAAGAGCAGAAAGTACAAACAGGGCAAGGTTGGAGACTTCGGTCAGAGGCCCTGGGTGATCCCAGTGTTGCCAAGAGCCTGAACTTGGTAGTGTAACTTCTTTGCTTGAAAGCCCTCCATCAAGCGGGACCTCTGAGGCGTACAACTGTAATTTCAAACCACAAAAGAAAACAGAACCCTTTCAAACTTTTATTTTGCTGAGGAAGCGGATGATTTAAATAAGTCTGTTTGACATATGCCTATCTGACTTCCCAGTTCCCTTAGGTTTCTTGCAAGTCAGCCATAAAGCTATTCCCCACTTGTTCTGACAGGATTTATGCAGTCTACATCTGGTATTCAGCAAGCATATTTTTCTTTCTTTTTCATTGAACTTCTGCCCATACACACATACAGGGTCTCATTTTAATAGTGGGATTATTCCCTGTGTATTTAAATACACAGGAAACAGGAAATCATCTAAAAGAACACAGTGATCTCATGGTTATATCACTTTTCCCCACAAGCCCGTTTGGAATCACAGACAAAGAGAAGATTCTGGAGCTTATAGCTTAAGAGTTTCTCAACCTGAGAGGCTGACTGACCTTAAGTTCCCTCTTCTGGTTCTTAACATAGCACAAATTAAGAAAATGAAATAGCACATTTATTCCAAGACACAGAAAAGAAAAGGATAATTATTTTCAAAATAAATCTGTGTTAAGCTCTCAGAAAAGTAAAAAGGCGTTTTCACATTTGGTTGGCTGATAAAGCAGCAGTCAGAAGGTGTAGGGATAGCCCTCTAAGAAGGACTCAGCCCTCTAAGAAGGTCCCTAGACATTCCAACATAGATCACAGTTGGACATAGGTTCTCTCAAAGTTGAACTGGGAATGTAGAAACCTGTATTTACTGAGCACTAACATGTCTTGAACAGGTTCCACTTAATCCTTATGAAGGCCATATAAGATAGGTATTATTAGACCCATTTTACAGATGAAGAAACTGAGGTTGAACTCCTAAAGACTCAATACACTTTAAGGGAGAGTGTTTCTCCCAACTAGCAATTCTCTTCATGGGATAGGGTTGCCTAGGATGCTCTCACACCACAGCCTTGGGAAAAGGCTTGAGAGCACACTCTTCTTACAGCACCCTGGGAACGGAACTTCCAGGCTCCATCCCTGACTCTACCAGAATAGGTACCAAAGGTGCTCAAAGCGATGGCTCTGAGAAATGACAGCTCTAGAAGTCTTTTCTCCACCAAAGAACAAAGAAATTAGGCTCTGCATACTTCAGTGTATTTTATTACTTTAAATATTGGTATCTCTTTCTGGTACCTATGTCAACTCTGTTAACTTGAATGTTTAATTAATCTGAATATTTTATTCCCCAATCATGCCAAAGAATAAAACATCTGTGAAAGCAGAATGCCTTTGTTCTGCTCCTGGAACAACCACCACCCTGCTCCCAACTCTTTAGTAATGCCAAGGTTTTCCTCCATCTCGTTTGATTCAGACATTTTGCTGGTTCTTACCCTACTTCCTTTTCTGTGAATGTTCTTCTTTCCCATTCATCGGAAACTGCCACCATCAAAACCTGGTTCAAATCTCCCTCAAAGTTTCGATTATTGGCCCCAAGAGGATTTTAACTTTTTAAACGTACCCTGAATAGACGTATATTCAGTCTATATAATCTTGGAACTACATTACTTTGAATTGATTCTCAACCCTTTTTAACTACTCTCTGATCATTTTCCCTATAACGTTCTTTGTTTCTCTAGCCTTATTAAAATTCTTTGCAGAGTGGAACAGCATCATTTGCTATTTTGAATCTTGAAATAGGGTGTGCTTAAAATCGCGTAGATCCAATGGTGTGCTGAAGCCAGGTTATGTCTGCTTGGGAGAGCCCATTGTGTGCGTTATGCCGCACAGTCTCTTCCCAGCTCGGTTTTCAGTGACATCATGTTGGTAGCTTGAACTTGGCCATTGTGGGAGGATTTATAGCATGGAAATTAGCAAATGCTACAAATCAAGGCTTTTTTTCCTCCTTTGAACAGCCAGTTTACCAGCACAGTATCCTTGCTACTCAAAATGTAGTTCACAGGCCAGCAGCCTACATCACTTGGGATCTTGTTAGAAATACGATGTCCAGCATCTCACCTCCCACCTCCTAAATCACATTTTTGCATTTTTTAACAAGAGTCTAGAGGGATTTGTTTGCCACAAAATGTGAAACAAGGAACTCTTAAAATCTAAAATTGATTCACTATACATAGATGGTGTCCCATAAGTTTGTTACATTGATTGAAATCCACAATATGAAACTATTGCAATTCTCAAGGCTGCTTGCCAAAGGCTGAGATGTATTTGTCCTATTCACATAGTTACTGCTGTAAAACTCTGAGTAATTTGCTTTTAAAAGTTTGAAATGGGACAATGTCCAATAGCTGGAAGAAATCTGGATTTTTAATACTAAATTAAGGACACACTAAACTAATAAAGGAAATTAAAAGGATTTTCACACATGACACTGACAAAGATTTGGGAAGGGGCATGGAGACTCTTTTCTTGTTTTTTACATGCAACTTTGTTGGACTTAAGGTACCTAACATATGCACAAATCAAAGAAATTTTGAAACCGTGGGCTGTTATTAAGAAAGCAGCTGTAGCATCTCTTATTAATGGCTTCTTCAGCGCAGTAGAAATAGAGCAAATACCCTGAGTAAAATATGAAGAATCAGCCTGGAAGCACACATGAAACTTGCAACATCAAACTCCAGTCTGCCCATAGTAGAAATTTCTGATGAGCTTCATCAGATGAATATTTGTGAAAAAAAAGTCTCGATTATTGGCAAAGAATGAACCTCAAGTCAAGCTGCTTGAGTTCAAATTCCAGCTCTGCCACTTATTATTAGCTGTGTGATCCCAGGAAAGTTACTCTGGATCTCAGTTCCTTACCTGTGATATGGAAGTGTAAGAATTACCTACCTCATTGCATGTGATGGTTGTAATACCCAAGCCCACGCTTGTGGTCTGTGGTGTGGCCCAGGCGTCAGGAGTCCTAAAATATCCCAGGTGATTTTAATGTGCAGCCAGGATTGAGAACCACTGGTCCAAGGGCATGATTAAGCAGATGTAAGAAACAAGCATGTAATAATTTGGGGGAAGTATGTTGAAAAACTGTAATGGTCTCGATGTGATTGTTATCTACTTTTGCTTCAAGGGTTAGCCTGCTAGCACTGTAAGTCTGGAATCTTGATGAGGATAAGCTTACCCAATGCGGATCAGCTTGAGGGGTGCGAAAGAAGAAGGACACTACCTCTCACGGGTCGACTAACCAAAGACTAATTTGACTTGAAAGTCAATTAATCATTTACAATGAGGACTATCTCTTTCCAGAAGGAATACCTACTTGGGAAACCAAGTTAACATCACAAAACTATTTGACAAACCTATGAAATCAGGAAAGGGTTCATAGTCTGGAGGAGGCATGAAATAAACTAGATTCTACAT